TAATTTTGTTTTAGTAGAAAGCCGACTCACGTTTTCATGGTCTCCATGAGAGCTAGGAGTGAAGTGTGGAAGCTGTCAAGGAGGGTGGGTGAGCGTCCAATCCGCGAGGCTGGACCGCCACCGCCACGGCGATTCGCGTTTGCAGGAAGAAACATTGCAGCTATGGCCTCGATGTTGCTGTTGCACAACATGTCCAGAGCCTCCGGGCGGATTCGGTCACGATTCTTCTCCACTAGTCCCTCCGTCTGCAGCCCATATGAGGTGGAAATCAAGGAAATGCTTGTTAGCTCGATCGAGCGATTGTCGCATTCTTCTTGTTGTTTAATTATGCAGCTCCTAGTTTTTTGTACTTCAACGGTGCACCCAAGTATGCATGCTTAGAGATACGCAGACTTTCAAAAGTGATTCAGAAGCTAAACAATGCGCACCAACTGCCTAAGAGTTACAAAAGTAGACATAAGTATTAATAGTCGCATAAAAGTCAGTCCGAACAGCAGCAAAAATCTAGACACAGAGTCTAGGATCTTAGCATTCGCTAGAGTGTGATGTAAGTGGGCACATATTATAGAAGTAGTTCATATGCAATAAATTTCCTTAAAAAATTACAGACTATGCGGTGAAAATTGTTGACCAGCAAAACATGGCATCTCATTCCTCACTAATTACGAGTTGATAGTGCAATTTAATCGCCTTGAGATTCGCGATTTTAATTACTTTTGGCAAACAACGTAGGCTACCAAGAGTTAATCAAAACGTGACCCTTTAAGGTATCCTGGTTCACTGAGTAGCGGCGTCTTGCATGTCGGCTGGTTGGGACCAATCATTCATATGATACTTCCCATCAGCTTCAATAACAAAAGCATAAAGGCTCGGTAGACATAAAAGGCGGAGTGAACAAGCACCCACCGAGTAGGCGATAGTGCCGGCAAAGTGAACAATGAGAAACTCCGAGGCGCTTGCAATCTTCGGGACGCCGTAGTGAGGATTGTTGCGGTGGGCGGCGTGACTCTTTTGGATGAATGACAGATCGTTTCCCTCAAAGAGAAAAAAAAAGATATCTTTGGTTTGCTGAAGGTGGCACATCGGAGAAACAGGTGACTAGTTTGTGATCTCGATATTTTTTGCGTTGGGCTTGAATGCAGCGCAAAGGCATCAGCACCAAAGAGGTTTCGATGGTATGTGAAAATTGTTAGTAAGATTGCGCAACAATTTGCCTACACTTGCTAGAACGCTTTGATTACAACCCAATGATGAAGTGTTTTAGCGTGGATCCAAAGAAGAGTGAAAGTATGTATTTAAGAAGCATATTCGCATTTAAATTGCCTTATTTATCCCCAGGCTTGCATCGGAGACCTAGCTACTCGCAAATGCCGTACGAGGATCCGAGATTTGAAAAAGAGAGTGGAGGACTGTCTTATGGCTAATTTAGTACTGCAGGTAATCCACCAAATCACAAAAATGGGTTGAGAGGATATTTTTGGCGTGCTGTGCATATTTACATACAGACTTCAGAATATGATCAGCATATGGAGCTCAACGAAATTCTGTCAACAACACTTTATGATGAAAAGCAGGTGT